GTTTTAAAGTTCAGAATGAATTTTGTGGTGTGCAAATCTGTATGCCAGCGTCCAAATTTGCTGTGAGGTGAAATGTGTGATCTACTAAGCTTTCGTTGGCAAGCATGGCGCATTGTTGTGCAGTAGGTTGAAGATTCAATTCAACCGGTGAGACAACCAGTCCCTGTACGACTAGTTTCGATGGTAAACTGATAGGAGCATATGCCAGGATGTCGAGCCTGTCATCAGATTACTTGTGGGCAACCCTCAAAAGAGGGAGTCATCGATAGCCTTGCCAGGGGGCACTTGCTATTAGCATTTGCTGTTAGTTGGGCTACTTCTGGAATGCCTCCGCCCCTCACTGGGAGCGAAACACGGAGCGGATTCTGACTTTTAACTTGACTGAGCCTTCACTTTTAAATGAATGAAGCGAGAACTGAGAATGAATAAAAGCAACCATTCTCTCTGCATCTTCGATAAACCAACGTAGATTTTCACTTCTTTTTTTGGAAGAAGCGTTTTTTCGACATCCGATTTCAAACGCCGTAATAAAAACGGTTTTAAAACCTGAAAATGAAAATATAATTTGGCGCGAAAATGCAAGCTATTCAATTTTTACAAATTCAACAACGCCAAGCAAAAGCTACACCAAAGAAAAACCCACAGATCGATATTTCTACATCAGTACATGAAAGTAAATGCTGAAGATGATGCCGCTTCAAAAAAAAAAAGAAAACCTTATGCAAGCGAGATACAAGATCCTGATTTCCCATCATATCATTGGTCGTGAACCATGAATCGAAATCGGAGGCCAGCGCGAACATATCAGGCAGAAGAAAATTCAGAAGCGCCCATAATTCGTGGAGATTGTTTTGTAGCGGTGTTCCAGTAATTAAAAGGCGATGCCTGGACTTGAATTCGCGAACTATTTCCGATAGCTGCAATGCATCATCTCACTACAAATATCGGCCTTCATCGTTCTTTCTTTATTGCTATGTTTAATTGCAAGTATAAAAGTCCTACTGACTACTGGATTATGAACAGCAACAGGTTTTTTAACAGTTTAACTGCAAATTCTCCACTGCGCTACTCAAGCCCTCTATAGTCGCGAATGTTACGCACCAGTCGAATGGGGATATTGTTATCAGCAATTCCGTCACTATTTGTAATGTCGGGAACATGAGATTATAGATAAGGATAGTAAATAAAATACCGAAATACGATAGCATTCTCTCCCCCCTTCCTCACCAAGCGCCCCTCCCATGTTTTTACCATCTTTTAATGAATTTCACGTATTTGGGAGGTTTCGTTGCGCCCAAAGGAAGCTGCAACCTAATACTACATCCGGCTTGCACACCCTTTGCTGTCAAATGACTACAACAAAGCACTGTGGCTAGCAAAACATTCGTATATAAGAGTTCCAGTTATAGCCACAACGAAAATTTCCTTAAAAAACAGCCAACCTTCGAGTGCTCATTTTTGATACGATGCGCCTCGTCAATGACAAGGAACTTCCAAACATACTTCCTCAGAAGTGATTTCTCTTTCAGTACCATTTCGTATGATGTCACCAGCACATCCCACTTACCAGGCAAAATCTCGTTACGTATCAAATCAGCCTGGAAGCACATTTTCAATTTTCCTCTGTACCAAATGTGAATCGGGATTATTACCAAATAAGGCTTTCAGTTCATCCCCACTCACCAGTTTTTAGCCCATTTTCTCCCATGCTACAACCCAAATTTATCTGAGCTGATGCAAGAACGCATCAGTGTGAAAACCTGATACCTTTTAATATAAAAACTGAGGAACAAAAACTTTGCTTTCGCTAAACATTCGCATGAATTTTGTATGCAAAATCTTATCGATCCTCAACGACAAGTCGAGTGCGAGGGAATAAAGACACTTTATGTAATCTTGTGGTTCTAAGCACACATATTCAGAAATTAAATTGCAGTGAAATGCGAGAAACAGGTGCCAAAGCGGCAACATCGACCATCTTTATCACGTTCTGCTCCATTTATTAAGGGAATAAGTTATTTTTCTCGCAAAATGTCCGCTCGTTCAGCCACAGTACTGTTCACATTACCCTTCATTTTTTTCTATTATAAACTTTGTTTTGAATTAATATCACGAAACAGTTGGCGTCTTGGCACAATGAACTTCACGATGGCGACCACTGCTTTACTGCTGGGAGCACAGTTTTCAAAAAAATAAACGACAGAAGGTGATGGGAGAAGAAAACTGAGGCTTACGCGTGCTTCAGCAATGCCAATAAGAGCGACGGCTTTCAGAGAGGGACACCACTTCTCGAATTCGTTGATCCAGTTTTGCAGTGTCGATTTCGGCGCAATAACCAGATGTGGGCCCGAGGCGTTTTTATAATGCTTCATAAAACCAAGCAGTGCTACAGTTTGCAGCGTCTTGCCCAAACCCTCAAAAATTAATCGTTTAAAAAGCAACTTCTGTAATTTCTTTGTTTTTTGAATTGTGCCTAACAATTTTTACAACGCTAAGCGGAATGTATGAAATTAAAGCAGTCGTTATAAAAAGCTGATACAACTGGATCCCCCCCGCCCTCCCCAAAAAAAAAAAAAAACCATATAGCATAAGAATCGGATACGATGCCCTAGGGTCAAAGACATTGTCATAGGCGATAAAAAGTAGAGTTGAAGAGGAAAATGCGATACCATTTCGTCGGCAAGAATTCCGTTGATGCCGTTATGCTGCAACGAAATAAGCCAATTTAGACCACGGATCTGATAATCGCGCATCTCGCCATTCTCAATGTAAAATGGCGTCTTTTCAAAGCTGCAAACAAACATGGCTGAGGCAACAACAACAAGCTCATATTTGCAAACCAACA